TGGGTCTATGCGACCTGGAGACTGTATGCGGCGATGAAACATCCTCAGCCCCCAAAGCAGCAGCAGCAGCAGCAGCAGCAGCAACAGCAGCAGCAGCAGCAGCAGCAGCAGCAGCAGCAAAGAGAAACAGGATGATAGTCTCGCTGCTGCTTGCTGCAGCATTGGGGTGTATGCACAGCCTGCTAGCAGCAAATAGTTTAATTGTTTTAGTTTCAGACATTCTTCTTATTTTGGGGGTTTGTGATAATAAAGGGCCCGCGGTCGTCGTCAGCATGGCAAAGGTGAGGGTTTAGGGTTTAGGGTTTAGGGTTTAGGGTTTAGGGGGTAGGGTTTAGGGTTTAGGGGGTAGGGTGTAGGGTTTAGGGGGTAGGGTTTAGGGTTTAGGGTTTAGCAGCACTGCTTGAAACCACAGACCCATAGCAACAAGCACACAAAACGCACTAGGGTTTAGGGTTTAGGGTTTAGGGTTTGTGTTGCAGCTGATAGGAGCTCTGGCTTGTCTAGGGTTTACTGTTTTAGGGTTTAGGGTTTAGGGTTTAGGGTTTAGGGTTTAGGGTTTGTGTTGCAGCTGATAGGAGCTCTGGCTTGTCTAGGGTTTGCGGATGCCGTGGGGCGCCGCGTTTTGCTGCTGAGCGGCACCGCGGGCATCTTCGTCACCCACCTGGGCCTCGCTGTAAACCCTAAACCCTAAACCCTAAACCCTAAACCCTAAACCCTTGGCTGGAGCACAGAGCGGGGGGAAACCTTGTTAATAGGCAAAAGATATATATATATAAACCCTAATCCCTAAACCCTAGACCCTACATATATATATATAAGCTGTATAAAATGCATACGAGTGCTGACCCAAGGGTTTAGGGTTTAGGGTTTAGGGTTTGTGGTTTGTGGTTTGCAGGCAATAGGGTTTGCGCGGCGGCAGCTGTTGCCTGAGGGTTTGCTGCAGCAGTGTACAGCATCATCTCTGCATGCTGCTGCTGCTGCTGCTCCTGCTGCTGCTGCTGCTGCTGCTCCTGCTGCTGCTGCTGCTGCTGCTGCT